AAAAAGCCGGAAGTGGCGCTGTGGCTCAAGTGGTAGAGCGCTAGCCTTGAGCTGAAGAGCTGAGGGACAGCGCCCAGGCCCAGAGTTCAGGCCCCACCACCAGACCCAAAAAAAAAAAAAATTACAGAAGTAAAGCTATGACTCAAGTAGTAGAATGCTAGCCTTGAGCAAAAAAAGCTCAGGGACAACAAACACGCAGGCCCTAAGTTCAAGCCCTAGGACTGGCACCAAAATAAGTAAATAAATAGAAGCATTTAAAAGACACACCTTTGGTACTCATGTCTTGAAACAGGCACTGCCATCCTTTGCCAACAGATAAGAAAAGTGACACAACTTATCTTTAAATCAATTTGACAGTACAAACTTGGCCATACAAATGTAAACATTTGTGTCAACCTGGGACCCGTGGTCTCTGCCTCTAGTAACACTAGCTACTCAGGAAGTGGGGGATTCAGATTCCAAAGATCAAGGATCAAAATCAGCCTAGATAGAAAAGAACATGAGATTCTGTATCCAAAATAACCAAAAAACATTTAAAAAAAAAAAACAGGTTGGAGGTATGGCTTAAGTGGTAGAGAACCAGCCAAGTAAGTGTGAGGCCTTGAATTTGAACCTGAGTACTTCCAAAAACTTAGTAACTACATTTCTAGGAATCTAGCCTAAGAGAACAAAGCAAAATATTTGTGACAGTGGTGCATAGAAAGATGCTCAATGCTGTGCTCCTTCAATGGCAACAAGAACAAACAACAGAAACAACAATTAAAATACCTAATACTTTTTTTTTCTGGTCATGGGCCCTGAACTCTGGGCCTGGGCACTGTTCCTCAGCTTCAGCTCAAGGCTAACGCTCTATCACTTGAGCCTCAGTGCCACTTCCAGCTTTTTCTGCTTATGTGGTGCTGAGGAATTGAACCCAGGGTTCATGCATGTGAGGCAAGCACTCTTCTATTGAGCCACCTTCCCAGCCCCCATCTAACACTTTTAATAACACGGGAAAGTGTGATTTCTCTTATAACAGTCATCAAAACCAAGGCTCAGGCTGGGAACTGATGACTCACACCTGTAATTTTAGCCACTGAAACCAGTCATCTTAGGCAGTTTGAAGCCAGCTTGGACAAAAAAGTCTGCGGGACCTCTATCTCTAAGGAACCAGCAAAAGGCTAAGTATGGCTGAAGTGGTAGAGCACCAGCCTTGATAGAAAAGGCAAAGTGAGAATGCAAAGCCCTGAGTTTATACCCCAGCACCTACACTGAATAAATGAAGAAAGGAAGGAAAGAAAGAAAGAAAGAAAGCAGGAAAGCAAGCAAGCAAGAAAGAAAGAAAGAAATCAAGGCTCGTTGTAGCTCAGTTGAGGAGCACTTGCCTAGTATGTGTGAGGTCCCAGCATCAATCCCCAGACTACAAAAGGATTTTTAAATGAAAAATACTGTAGACATCCTCTGTTAACTATAGTTATTACAAAATACATAAGCATTTTGTATATGCATGAGAATAAAAATCTTGTTACCACTGGTTACCTTCAGTGTGAGACTTGGGGTTCAGTCTGAGTGAGTCATAGATGTACCCTATAATCTGGAGGACCGAGTCAGTGATGATAAAAAAAAAAGGCCAAACAACTAACAATGATCATTCATTGTCAAGTAATGAATCAGGCTCAGCGACCTTAAAGGAGGAACTTGGAGTTTAAGTGGTTTGTCTTCACCTGCTAGGCACCGCGAAAGTTACTGCGTGTGGATATAATTCATAGGGACAAAGAGCAAGAAGATGATTATAGCAGCCAAGTGCTGGAATCTGGAAGAGACACAAAGTAAACTTGGTGCTTGCCCAGGCAGAGCCAGAGAATCAAACAGAAAGTCGTTGGACTACATGCTCCCAGGCTGCTTGGGAAGTAGAGGGCTCATGGAGCAGGAGCAGTATAGGCAGAGAGATGGTGGTCACCATGGGGATGGAGAAGAGATCATAGCTGGCAGCTATTTCCTCCTCAGTGAGCTGCTAGGAGCAAGGGAAGAGGAAGGAGTTGCTGGGGAAGGGGAAGGACAAGCTGGAAGAGGGAGATTCCACCATCCACCCTCCATGGCCAAGGGTGCCCATGTGAGGAGGGAAAGGATGGAGTTCAGAGCTCAAGCTTTGGAGTCCTTGGAGGTAACACACCTAAACAGACTCTGTAGCCAGGCAGCCTTGAATTGGAAGTGGACAAATGCCACTTCCGGTCTGGATGATGTTTTTTGAGCAATTGAAGTGAACTTTTCTGAATCTCTGAGGTTGTCAATCCCAAAATTAAGCCTCACCACACCTGCCACATGGGGTCTCTAAGAACAGATGGTGAAAGAGCATGTATAGGTAGGAGGCCTCATGTGGTTGCCCACACCTGTAAGCACCCTCCTTTCTTGGATTCCCTGCTACTCCTGCCCACCCCACCCCCACAGTATAGAAGGCTCCTGCAAGACCTGTAAGCTTGTGTGTGTGTATGTGTGTGTGTGTGTGTGTGTGTGTGTGTGTATGCGTGCATGCACACAGATACTGTTTTTTTTTTTTGTTTTGCTTTGTTTTTACCAGTCCTGTGGCTTGAACTTAGGGCCTGAGCACTGTCCCTGGGCTTCTTTTGTTCAAGGCTAGCACTCTACCACTTGAGCTACAGCACCACTTCTGGCTTTGTTCTGTGTATGTGGCACTGAGGAATCAAACCCAGGGTTTCATGAATGCTAGGCAAGCACTCTACCACTAAGCCACCTTCCCACCCCAGATACTGGCTTTTGAATTAGGGTCTTGAGCTCTCCTTTAATTTTTTTCACTAAAGGTTGAAGCTTTACCACTTGACAGCTTCACTTCTGGCTTTCTGCTGGTTAATGAATTTTCTGGCTCATGGATTTGTCTGCCTAGTCTGGCTTTGAACCTTGATCCTCAGATCTCAGCCTCCTGAGTAGCTAGGGTTGTAGGTGAAAGCCACCATTGCCCAGCCCCTGCTAACTTTTCTGTTTCCTGTGTTTCTCGGGAGCATGGGGGGGGGGGGCGCTTTCAACTTTCTTCCCATCAGTTCAAACATGGAGATCACACAGGTTTGCATCAACCAGAAAAATCAGCTTTATTCGCCCATCACCAGCAGAGGGGAGGGGAGACAGCTAGGGGCCGCGCTGGGAGAAGGGGTCCTGGCCAAGGCCTCAAGGAGGTGAGGCTGGCAGAAGGGCAGGAGGCTCTGGGAGAGGCCATCAGTTCCTGAAGCTCTGGCTCTGGCTTGGGCTCTGGCTCTGGCTGAAGCTGGATGAGGCCTGCTCCTTTAGGATGGGCCGGGACTGGCGAGAGGATGAAGATGAGGACGAGGAGAAGACTGCAGGAAGGAGAAACAGAGGTGAGTGGAACTCTGGGAGCTGAGCTGGCCACCAGAAGAGGAGACCAGAGGCTCTGAAGAAAGGGACTCTGCATAGACCCACAGAAACAGGTGGCAGGGTGTCATCCCGGATCCCCCAGGAGACTTACCTTCTCGGGAAGAATAGGATTGACCAGAATGCTGGGAGGAGGAGATGCTGTAGGAGAAAAAGGTGATGGTTACAGGTGCTGGGGGCCTCTGGGGGCTGGGGGAGAAGGCAGGTTATGAGTCTGGATGGAGGGCCCCCACTCACTGGGCATCTTCGCCCTCCAGCAGGCGGCGGTAGGTGGCGATCTCCTGCTCCAGCCGGGTCTTCACGTCCAGCAGGATTTTGTATTCCTGGCTCTGCTGCTCCATCTCGCAGCGCAGCTGAGCCAGCTGCTCCTCCACGTTGCCGATCAGGCCCTGGATCTGGGACAGCTGCATGCAGTAGCGGCCTTTAGTCTCCTCCAGGCTGTTCTCCAGGGATGCTTTCTGTCAATAGAAAAGAAAAAGAAAAAAAATCAGTGGAAATGAACACTTCTCTCCCTCCAGAGATGTTTCCTGAGAAGAGTATGGCTGTTGACCCATGCACGTGAAATGCTGATTCGAATGATGGAGAAAAGTTATCCCACTATTCCGGGTCTTAATTTCTCCATCTCTGTTTGGGTATTGTGATCCCTCAATCCCACTCTAGAGAAAAGAAAGGTGAGATTGGATGGTGGCCATGTGGACCAGGGATGGTGGCCATGGCTGGTGATTTGGGGGCTGCCGCGGGGGTAGATCCTTCCTACCATGCTGAGCTGGGACTGCAGCTCGATCTCCAGGCCCTGGAACACTCTGCGGAGCTCAGTCACCTCGCTGCGGCCACTCTGAATGAGCTCGCTGTTAGAGGCCACTTCTTTGTTCAGCTCCTCGGTCTGTGAGAAGAGAGAAAAGCACCAGGTGTGAGGCTCTCCAGAACCTCCCTTGCTGGGAGTCCTGCAGGATTGGGGGACAGAGGCCGGGGAGAGGCTGTGGGAGAGTATGGAGGCCACACCTTGCTCAGGAACCAGGCCTCAGCATCTCTGCGGTTCTTCTCTGCCATCTGCTCGTACTGATCACGCATCTCATTCAGGATTCGGCTCAGATCCACACCAGGGGCCGCATCCATCTCCACATTGACATCGCCGCCGGTCTGACCCCTCAGGGCAAGCATCTCCTAGGCAGGAATAAGAAGGGGGTGATCAGATCAACTGAACCCTCTCCTGGCTCAAACCAGTCTGCCAACCCAAAGCCAGCAGCCACCTCACCTCCTCGTGGTTCTTCTTCAGGTAGGCCAGCTCCTCCTTCAGGCTCTCGATCTGCATCTCCAGGTCAGCTCTGGCCAGAGTCAGATCATCCAGCACCCTGCGCAGCCCATTGATGTCGGCCTCCACGCTCTGCCGCATGGCCAACTCATGTTCATACCTGGGAAGACAAAGGTAAGAGTCTCAGGTGCCATGCTTGAAGCTTCCAAAAATTAAAGTCTGTTGACCCTCCTGGATGGGCATCCCCGATCCTTTGTCCCCTGCCCTGTGCCCTCTGCCCTCTGCCCTCAGCTCAGGATGCTGGCTGCTTACTTGGTCCTGAAATCATCCGCCGCCAGCCTGGCATTGTCGATTTGCAGAATGGGCTGTGCATTCTCAATAGTGGCTGCAATGATCTAGAGTGGGAACAAACAGACAAGGGATCTAATTAGCCAAGGACTCTGCTGCTTGAGGGTGAGGACAGAGGGGGCAAGTCCGGGGGTCTTCTGATTCACAGGTCAGCTCAACTATTGTAAGACACCCTCTCTACCTATCTCAGGCTGGATAAGGATGTAGCCATCTCCCACCTCCCCCAATCCAGCCCAAGGTTAAGAGCTGAGCATCCGTGCAAAGAACCCTCACAGGAAGGGACTTGGAGCTCCAGTTTCAGCCTAGAAAGAGATGTTGAGCCAGGGCTGTCTGCCCAAGTCACCCTGGCCACTCCCGCAAGGCCTCTCAGTCTTCCTGTTTGTAAAATAGTATATCTAGAAAGAGCTTACCTAAGGTCCATGGCAGACCCTGCCTCTCTCAACACTCTGTCCAGCAGAGCCACCTACCCACCTTGCTTCTCAGATCCTCAATGGTCCTGAAGTAGGGGCTGTAGTCTTTGATCTCATTGGGCCGTTGCCTCTGGTACCAGTCTCGGATCTTCACTTCCAGATCAGCGTTGGCCTCCTCCAGGGCACGCACCTTGTCCAGGTACGTGGCCAGCCGGTCATTAAGGTTCTGCATGGTCACCTTCTCATTGCCAGAGAGGAGGCCGCCATCGCCAACACCAAATCCACTGCCAAAGCCAGCACCAAGGCCACCAATGTATCCACCACCTAGAGCCCCTCCAAAGCTGCTGCTGCTGCTGAAGCCACCGCCATAGCCGCCCCCCATCCCACAGGCTCCCCCGGAGGAGAAGCGGGAGGAGGTGACCGACAGACCCCCGTAGGTGCTGGGGGCCCTGCAGGAGCCTCCAGTCAGGACAGAGGAGATGCGGCTGGAGCCACCACCGATGCCACAGGAGCCCTTCATGGAGCTGGAGGAGGTGAACTGGCGGCTGCAGGTGGTCATGGTCCCGAGGAGGAAGGAGAGTGAGCGAGCGAGCTGGCAGACAGAAGCAAAAGGTGCTCAGGGAGACGGAGAGAGGATGCTGTGTCTGCCTGGAGCCCGAGATCCTTTATATACACCTGGGGAAGGCGGGGCCCTCCCGCTGCTGACTCCAGCATTTCATCACTCTGGTCCCGCACAGACGACTCTGGCTTATTCAGCCCAGGGTGGACTCCGTTTGCTGTATGCTGGCTCAGAGTTCCCACCCAGATTTTGGGGGTGTGGGCCGAGAGAAAAACACACATACCATAGAGTCTGTTAGTGAGTCAGGCTGGGTGACCAGGAATCATTTCTCATTCCTGGAACTGGAGGGAACAGTGGAACCTTGGTGCTAGCAGGTCGATGGCAGTCACATCCCCAGGCAGTGAGTCAGCCTGTCCAGGGGACAGCTTGCCCCATGCTCAGAACGTTGCCTGAAAGAGGCCTCGGGGATGTCATCCTGGGCTACGAGGTCCCACCTACCTCTACTCTCCGATGCCCTACACAGGGTCCTGTGCCCCCGTGCTCCCCAGGAGGCACAGCTCCTCCACCCTCCCCCCACCATCACCCTTACTGGATCAGGGCACCCAGATAGGGTGGGAAAAAGTCCCTACCATCCTGCTCTGAATATTATACATGAGCCTTGGTCTCTCCATGAGCCACAGAACTTTAGTCCTGACCTGTGTTCCCAATAGCTTTCTCTCATGCCCACAGAGTCTAGGTGGGCTTGGCAACTTCATACCTTCAATTGAAGTGACCTGGAGGGTTCTCTAGTCCTCTGCCCAGCTCAGACATCGCACTGAGTTCCCGTACTGTGTTTGTGACACAATTCTGTAAGGTGGGTACGCGGTGAGCATCATTCCTACCACTGATTCACAGATGACAGTGGGGATAAAGGAGAGCAGGTGGGCTTCCAAACACACCTGCCTCTGCCTGTGCCTGGCCTCTATCCTGAACCTCCCTCTGCGCCTCTCAAATTCACATGCTTTTCTTGATCCTTCAATTACCCTGCAAGTGTAGGAAAAACCAGAACGAGGTGGTGGTTGGATCAAAAACACTAGCCTTTAAGCTGCCACTGTGGGACTCTTTGGGCTCCCAGGGTGCCTTGCAGTAGGTGCCAAGTTTGTCTAATTCCCCCCCACTTCCCCTCAGAGCGCGGGACTAGCTCTGCCATCCATGAGTTCGGCCTCCATATTGGGCCTGAATGACAGCTAGAAGGAGAATTGGGAGATGTAGGCCCAATGGCTTCTTTGGGTACTGCAGGATGGTCCACAGTGCCAGCATCTATCCTTGATCTGTGGAGCCTCTATGGAGGTTGGAAGAGTTCAGACAGCTTTGTCTGAACTCTGCTGAGGATGTCTCCTTCCTACACCTGATACATCTCATACAGTCCTATCAGCACTCGGCCCAGAGGTAATAGCAGAGTAGAAGCATGTGATTTTGGTCTCAGACCTGAGAGAAAGCAAATGATACTCCCCACCCCTGAGCCCAAATATGGGCAGAGGGACCCTAGCCTCGGGGACAAATAGTCCAGTCTCCAGTTATCAGGATGTGTCTAGAGTTCAGATCTACCCATGGATCAGTCACCCTCAGGATTGGAAACAGCCCTCAAGGCTACCAATGCCACTAGACCCCAACCAGAGAGTGTGAAAGACTTGCCCAAGGTTGGATATCACAGATGTACACAAGTAGAAACTAGAACTTGGACTGGGAATATGGCTTAGTGGTCAAGTGCTTGCCTAGCGTGCATGAAGACCTGGGTTCAATTCCTCAGTACCACATAAACAGAAAAAGCCAGAAATGGCTCAAGTGGTAGAGAGCTAGCCTTGAGCAAAAAAAGCTCAGAGACAGTGCTCAGACCCTGAGTTCAAACCCCAGGACTGGCAGAAAAAGAAAAAGAAAAAAAGAACTTGACTCCACCTGCCTAGCTATTGTTCATGCCAACTCTCACCCTGGGGTTTCTGGGACTATTCATCCTCTGTCCCAAGTATACACACATACACTTGCAGGGGAGGGGAGCCGCGGGTACGTACATATGTACATACGCACGCATGTGCGCACACACACACACACACACACACACACACCTCCATTCTAGGGCAAGTTTGGAGGATCATGCACAGCCCAGCTGGGAAGGCTTGTGGTGGGGAGGGGTTTGCATGGCCTGAGAAGGCAGGAACTTGCTCACCAACCCCTCAAACTCCTCAGCCACCTAGATCAACCTAGATCACCATGTGCCTAGCACTATGGGTGAGGTGAGGGAGACCATGACAGAGTCCAACCTTAGAAAAAACGTATTTGTCCCCGGAGAGAACCCCATGGCCAGGAAGACAGACTGTTGAAGTGCTTGCTGCCACCACCCCCAGTCCTCACCACAGGAGGCTGCTGGAAAGGTTTTACCCTCTAAATCTCCTCTGCATAAGGAGAGACTGCCCTCTTCCTCCTGGAATAGGAGGCTACAGCTGGACCCCAGGCAGAGAAAGAGTGCGGGACAAGTCCTCGGTGACTGCGACATGTATCTGTCCTGAGATTGTCAGGACCAGGACCACAAAGCCAAGGCGGGCAGGGGGCACAGACTCCTTGCCAAAGAGCTGGCACCCCTCCCTGCAGTGGAGTCTTCCTCCATCCCTCCCCCAACCCCCTGAGCCCCGCCCCTCCTCAGGCATGAGGTCATGTCACACTCCAGTTGGCTGGGAAATATCATTGGCCAACACCAGGCATCAATGCACACACAGTGATTCTCAAACCTGCCCTGCATCAGCATTGCCCAGGACAAGCCTGGTCGTGGGGCTGTTTTACAAGCTCCCTAGGGGATTCCCAGGCTGGGGTGGCTAGAGGCAGCTCAGGAAGGCTGAGAGATAGAGGCACTATGACAGAGCCATGCGTGTGTGCACACACACACACCTGGCAGGAGACCCACAGGCTCCTGGGTAACAAGGAGGAAGAAGAAAACTGTTGAGCCAGAACAAAGCCACCTAGAGCTTTGTCCACGCAGGGAACTATGACTGGCCCTGAGCTCCGGAGGACTCTGAGCACCAGGCCTTCCCCAGGTGTTTAATGCCCCTCCCCCATTCTGCGTGCAGAGCTGTTACTGTCCCTGGCACCGGTCAACAAGAGCCCCTCAAGGGAGGCCCAAGGTTCTATCAAGCTCTGTTTTGGGGGACAGAACAGCCCTGCCTCTGGTCTCTCTGTTTCCCTTAGGTCCCCAGGGAATCCCTGCTTGCTGCAGTCCCCACCACATCCATCTTCCTGTAGAAACACTTCCAGGTCAGCCCCTACCAGGGTGGGTTAATGGTAGAGAAAATGTCCAGGGCCAGCCGAGAAGGGAGTCAGAGCTATCTCTGACACAGGGGAGTGAATGACGCAGTTGAAGGGTAACATTAACCAGGCTGTCCGACGTGGATGTGAGCAGAGTAAGTATGGACGGACAGCAACGCCCCCTGCATGGAATCCCACCACTGATTCCCCAATCCAGGCACAGGCACAGGTCGCAGTAGCCTAGGGCTGCTTGTAATGCCAGAACAGAGCTATCAGAGTTCCTAACGCTGTGCCTTGAGGATCCCTGGGCCTGGTAGACGCTTTCTTCTGGCACACTTTGTGGAGAAGAGCTTTAGTCCCAGCCGAAGAGCTCAGCTAAGACATTCTGACCCCCTCTTCATGCCCCTCTATTTTATTGTATTATGCCTGTTGTAGGGCATGAACTGGGGGCCTGGGCACTGTCCCTAAGCTCTTTGTCCTCAGGGCTACTGCTCTACCACTTAAGCCACAGCACCACTTCTGGTTTTGAGTCGTTAATTAGAGATAAGAGTCTCACGGGGGCTTTTCTGCCCAGCTGACTTTGAACCATGATCTTCACATCTCAGTCTCCTGAGTAGCTAGGATTATAAGCAGATGCTACTGGCGCCTGATGCCCCTATTATTAAGAGTGGGTCCCCACAATGTCGCCAGAAGACAGACAGCCCTCCCTGCAAATGACAGCAACCATGGCAGAAGTTAGAATTTGGGCAGCTTTTGTCATTTCAGAGTGGGATCCACTGTCCGCCCTCCCTCGCTCCACCCTCCTGACGCCCGGCATCCAAGAGAAGGATTGACTCATGGTTCCTCATAGCCTCAGTGTCCCCATCCACACAATGGGGTGCCTCTCCCCAGACTCTCCCTGCTTCCCGGGACCATGGTTCAGATAAATGAGCTCACCCTCCTCCAGGATGAGCCATCCTAGCCTAGGGCTGGTTCTTCAGGTTGGGGCCGGATGTGCCAAGGGGGCTGGGGGAACCTGACTCCTTCCTGCCCCCATGCAAGCTACAGAACCATCTTCGTTGCCAGGGAACTGAGGGGCCCCAGCACTGATAGTACAACGCTTGCCCAGCCCTCTCAGCTGCAGCCAGCCCCCCGAGGGGAAGTCACCCTTCCAACATCAGGGCCTCTACTTCTCATCCTATACTGTGCCTTTCAAGGTCCAGTGTGGGCCTGGGACCCCCTGAAGTCCCCAGATCTCCACTACAGCTTCCCCAGGTCCCCAGACTCCACCATGCCAGGAGCTCAGGGAACTCAGGCATTCCTGCCCCCCCCCCCTCCAGGCACATGAAAGGCAGGTGTGTGTAGTAGGGCACGGATCTGAATTCACACACACACACACACACACATACACACACATACACACTGCACCCTGCAATGCTTTGGGATGGGAGCACCCTACTCTCATTTATCAGTTTCCTCAACCCTTCTCCTTGAAGAAAACCAGGAAGGAAGCTGCCCTGCCCACTGGCTTGCAGACTTACTAGAAGGAAGATGTCTGGTCACCAAACTCCTCCCTGACTGTTCCCTGCAGCTCCCCCTCGCCTGGCACCAGTATGACGTGGAGCTCCTACTCCAAGGGTCCTGTGTGTGGTTGGGACAGGAGACCCCTCCTCCTCCACTTCCCCACGATGCTGTTCCCCACCTCCTCTTAGGAGCCCTACCCCCAGACAGGAAGCCCAAGGAGGCCAGCTGGCCGGGAAAATGACTCTGCTCCCTGGCATGGCCACTTCACAGGGTCCCCATTTCTCCCCCATCCTCAGAGACCCCACACACACACCTTGTCTCCCACACCTGCTAAGCTACATCCTTCCCAGGAGCACAAGCTTTGTTTTCTGCTGCTGGGGATGGGGGCCATAGGACCTTCACCTCTTAGGAAATCCTGAGACCCCTTGCAGAAACTAGGCTTTTGACTCTGCCTACCTCCCCCACCTACTCAAACTCCCCTCTTCTCCCCCATCTCAACCCACCTTGCCCCTCTGGGGAAGAAGCAAGGGATCACATGAGTCATCGCTCCTGCACCTCAGATCTTCCTCTCCATTTATGGATGAGAAATGAGGCCCCACAAGGGAAAGAGACCATGCATCTGCCAGAGGCCACGGTGCGACTTAGGGGACAAGAACACATCACCTAGGACCACCGCAAGGCTTGGACCATCCTTAGGACCGCCTCCCATGACTTACTCTTTATATCATGTAAGCTGACCCCTGACCTTGTGTCAGTGCTAGTGAGTGTCCAAGTTTTGGCTCCCCTCACCCCTGCTCCATCCCAGTCCGCCCAAGGACACTAACAACTTCTGTATTCAAGTCAGGAAGGGAGTTCGCATCTGAGTCAAACAAGCTTTATTGGAGTTGAGCAGGGGAGTGTGGGGAAGGGACTGAAACAGAGGGCTGAGGCTGGAGAGGCCAGAGGCTGCAGGGCAGAGGGCAGCCACGTCCCTGCCACCTGGGCGTGGGGGATGGCCAAGGGGAGCCGAGGCCTCAGCGGGTGGTCTGGTGGACCTGCTCTCTGGAGGAGATGACCTTGCCATCCTGGACCTCTTCCACAATGGTGCGCACCTGGCGGGTGGTCACGGCTGCAGGAGAAATAGATGCATGGAGGAGGGCAGACCCCAAGAGAGCCGTGCTCAGTCCCCAGGCCACTGGGTAGAGGACCACTACCTCTCCCAGTCTCTTGAAGCCGCTGTTATCTCTCTGATGGCCCCCAGCATTGCATCCACATCCCTGCTGCCTTTGGCCCCCTCCTTCCCCTGGAGTTTCATGGATCTTGCTGCCCCCAGATGGTTTATTTGCTTTAGACCCACTCAATGCATTGCATCAAATGGATTCTATCTTCTTCTCTCTGCAGTCTCCCAATCTCCCCCCACCCCCAATCATACTAGGAATTAAAGACAAAAGAACATGTTCCCTTTCTCTTGTCAGGATAGCATCCCAGAAATAAAATCACTTTTGGCAAGCTGGCTCAAAAGCAAAAGCTATAAAGTGTCAGGTCCCCCAGTCTCCAGAGCTGGGACCATGTCTCCTCCATTGGACTAAGATCTGCAGGGTAAGGGCCAGTTTTCAACCCCACCCCCTCATCAAACCAGACAGTCTCTCTCCTTTGATCCTTTCTCTGAGCCTCAGCCCCTCGTCCCTCACAGGTCCATTCCCTGACCACTGCATAGGACCAACCATCACTGCCTGGAACTTCTTGGAGACCGGTGTCCCAGAAAATGGGAAGATGGGCTTCCCGCCCCACATACACCCCCAGGCCTCAGCCTCCATGATACTTACGTTCTTTGGGCTTGTACTGCAGGCTGCAAAATAAAGGAAAGGAAAGAGAAAAGAATGGAGAGGTTAAATATGGGTCTGAGAGTCCCTTCCTTTACTCCAAACCGTGTCCCCCTTCCCCCAACCCAGGCCCCAACTCACTGGGCATCTTCGCCCTCCAGCAGGCGGCGGTAGGTGGCGATCTCCTGCTCCAGCCTGGTCTTCACATCCAGCAAGATCTTGTACTCCTGGTTCTGCTGCTCCATCTCACAGCGCAGCTGAGCCAGCTGCTCCTCCACACTGCCAATCAGGCCCTGGATCTGGGACAGCTGCACGCAGTAACGGTTCTCTGTCTCTGCCAGGCTGCCTTCCAGGGATGCTTTCTATGGAAGAGCAGAAGGGGTGGTCGGTGAGGGTGGCAGTGGCCTTCCCGGGTGTTGGACTCAACTCTGTGCGTAGCAGCATCCCTACCATGCTGAGCTGGGACTGCAGCTCGATCTCGAGGGCCTGCATGGTGCGCCGGAGCTCGGAAATTTCGCTCTTGCCACTCTGTACCAGCTCGCTGTTGGTGGCTACCTCGCGGTTCAGCTCCTCGGTCTGCAGACAGGACACAGGACAGGGGGTGCATGAGCCTGGATCCCTCCCCCCAATTCAGATGCCCACTCAGCATCCAGGTAAGTGTCTTGGCTGTCTCCCCAGGCCACTGTTACCTTCCTGACCTCCCCTGGGCCTATCCTGCCCTCTCACCAACTTGCCACAACCCAGGCCAGGAACTCATCCTTTGAAAGGTTATGCTTAATCTCTACCAGTGGGAGGCATAGAACCAGCCAGCCAGGACAGGTAGCCTGACCCTGATGCTAGTTCCTGACTTCTCAAGAGAAGTGGGAAGTCCCAGAAGTTTCATCCTTCTGCCTTTATTTCCTTTCTCCCTACCCATCCTCAAATCCCAGCTTTGGCTCAGTCCCAGGTCTGGTGATACAATAAACAACTCTGACCTCTGGGGTTCCATGGGGCTCACTGAGAATGGAGAGTCCCCAGGCTGCTAGGCAAGGGGTACGGTTGGAGCTCAGACCCCTGCAACCTGTCTCTGTGACCTGCAATAGACAACCCTCACCTTGCTGAAGAACCAATCCTCAGCATCCTTGCGGTTCTTTTCTGCCATCTTCTCGTACTGGTCACGCATCTCAGAAAGAATGCGGCTCAGGTCCACGCCAGGGGCTGCGTCCATCTCCACATTGATCTCACCACCCACTTGGCCTCTCAGCGCATTCATTTCCTGTGGCAAGGGACACATGGTGTGGGTAACCTGGGCTTGTCATGACCTCTCACTCCCAAGCCTACACACACACACACACACACACACACACCTCTTGTTCCGCCCAGCCTCTTCCTTGACCTTCCTAAGGATTTTTGTTCATATTCCCTACATGGACCCTGACAGCACCATCCGACTGTGCATCCATCAGTAGATTGAGGTCTCTCCAAAGACACAAAAAATCGAATTCCTAGGTTTTTGTCCCTGAAATTTTCTGCCCAGTCTTGAAACTTCTATGTAAAGCCCAGATTGGAGGGTTGCCTTTGACCTCCTCAACTTGTCTGCTGTCATTGTGAGGGAGGCCCAGACCGGTAAGGAGGCCTTCAAGGGCCCTAGGACATCCCCTGGATGCAGGGTGTATGTGTGCCATGGTTGAGCCCGCCCTGCACACCAGCTCTGGATCACAGGGTCAGGGCACTGCAGACAGGCTAGCCTTGTCAGCATGACTAATGCCAGCCTGCCTTCTCTGTTCTCTCCAACTGCAGCCTAGCCCCAGGGACTTGCCACCCACTCCTCAAACTCTTTGACCTGCTGTCCCAGCAGCTCACCTCCTCATGGTTCTTCCTCAGGTAGGCCAGCTCCTCCTTGAGATTCTCAATCTGCATCTCCAGGTCGGCTCTGGCCAGGGTCAGCTCATCCAGCACCCTGCGCAGCCCGTTGATGTCGGCCTCCACACTCACACGCAGAGCCTGTTCTGTCTCAAACCTGCAAAGGGAGCCAGAAGCTTCAGTCTGGCCTGCTTGGATTTACAGGTCCAGATCATGGCTCCTAGGTGGAAGTCAGTGTTTCATGCCTATAATCCTAGCTACTCAGGAGGCTGAGGTCTTAGGATCATAGTTCAAAGCCAGTCTGAGCAGAGAAGTATGTGAGAATCTTATCTCCAATTAACTAGCAAAAAAGTCCCAAGTGGAGCTGTGGCTCAAGTGATAGAGCAACTAGCCTTGAGCAACAAAGCTAAGAGAGCGAGCCCAGGCCCTGAATTTAACCCCCAGGACTGGTTTCCTGGTTTCCTGCCTGCTTTACTTTTTTCCAAGGCTCTAAGGACTCATGAGGGAGGATGCAAAGGCAAGTTTCAGCCCTTGGCTGTGGAACCATCACAAGACAGGACCTCACCATTGGCTTCCTGACCTCTCTCCTCTCTGCCTCCTCTCCCTTCCCCCTCCTACCACCTCCGTAAACCCAATGACCTCTAAAACCACTGTGTCTGCTCATCCTGGAATAAGGGATGGGCTCTTAGTTCCCAGGATTCTTCCCACTCCTCAGACTTGGATCTGTACACATGCAACCAGAAGTCCTGGGCTACAGAAGGATGTCCCTAGCTCCTCCTCCTCCCTGAGCCGGCCCAGTCACTCAAGCCTGCTAGCTGACACTCACTTGGTACGGAAGTCATCAGCCGCCAGACGGGCATTATCGATCTGCAACAGGATGCTGGCATTGTCCACAGTAGCCACAAGGATCTGGAATTGGGGGGGGAGGGGGCACATGAGTGAGCAATCAGATCATTGGGTGAGGGGCAGGTTCTGAGTTGTTCTTCCTGACTGGGGACTGGGATGCCACCCTCTCAAGTCCCTCTGCCCATCCAATCTACACCGTACCACCACTGTTTCCAGAGGCAGACAAGCTGTATGTAGTCTGACAAGCTGACGCCTCTCCTACTGTTCCCACGCGCACACACACATACCAGCCCTTGTCTCTCCACAAAGACCTCCACCACAAACCAGCCTCATTCTGAAAGCTGAGGAGGCAGGAGAAATGAGAGAATATCCTCAGGGCAGAAGCTATACCAGAATCCTAGAGAGCAAAGGAGAAATAGGGCATTCCTGCTGGTGTGTGTGTGTGTCTGTGTGTGTCTGTGTGTGTGTGTGTGTGTGTGTGTGTGTGTGTGTGTGTGTGAGACAACCCACTGGAGTTTCCCCTGTGAAAGGTAGTTAGAGAAGCCTTCACCAGCAGTAGTTTCATGTCAGAAGTCATAACCCCTGGGCTCAGGCAGGCAGCCCCACCCTCCAGGGTTTGCCAAGCCCCAAGCAAAGAAAGGTGTGGGGACCCCTGAGATTACCACACACACACACCCTCCTTCCTCACCTCCTAGCAGTACCTTTCAGCCCACTCAAACCTCACCATTCCCCCTCCAAACCCCATTCAGCTGACCCTGCTCCAAAGGAGAGATATCCAGTAGCTAGCTCTGCTGTGAGGCCCCGCCCTCCACACGCATCCTCCTGTCCTCTCTGATACCCCCAGAGGAGGAAGCACAACTCCAAAGGGCCCCATGGGGCTTGTTTGTCCCCACCAGAGGAGGTTGCAGACTCCTGAAGGTCAAGCCAGAGCCAAACTACCTTTGGCTCCCTAAAGCACTCAAATAGGGAGTCCTGGACTCCATAGAGGGCAGGGGATGGCAGAGAAGTTATGCCTCCATCATGCCCCTCCACCCAGCATCCCAGGGCTGGTCCTACCTTGTTCTTCAGGTCCTCGATGGTCTGGTAGTAATGGCTGTAGTCTCGGGCAGGCCCCGGAGCTTGCTTCTGGTACCAGTCCCGAATCTTGATCTCCAGCTCGGTGTTGGCCTCCTCCAGGGCACGGACCTTGTCCAGGTACGTGGCCAGACGGTCGTTGAGGTTCTGCATGGTGGCCTTCTCGCCTCCTGCCAGCAGCCCATCAACCCCCCCAAAGCTGCCTCCATAGCCACTGCCAGAGCCGAAGCTGTAGCAGCTGGAGTAGCTACTGCCTCCCAGGGCACTGGCCAGACCACTGGCCGACCCCAACCTGCAGGAGCCAGCGCCTAGACTGCCCGAGAGCCGGCAGGAGGCACGCGACGAGCCGCCCCCCAGGCCCGAGGAGCCCTTGATGGAGCTGGAGGAGGTGAACTGGCGGATGGTGGTGGTCATGGTAGGCAGAGGGCCTCAGGCACAGAGCAAGAGGGCTCGGGAGGAAGAGAGAGGCGCCAAGAAGCGTGTTGCTGTCGGGGCTCGTCTGCTTCCTTTATAAGTCGGCAAGTGGGCGTTGCGATTTCAACAGGCTTGCTGCTCTGTTTCCATTTCCCTGGGCTTTCATCACCCCCTGGCCACTGGCCAGCTCCCAGGTAGCTCTGGGCCCCCTCCCCTCCCACCATCCGGGCTCTGCCTCATTTCTCCAAACCCCCGATGCTAGGTGCCCTATGCGTGTGCGTGTGCGTCTCTGGTCTCAGGCCCCGTCACCTGTGATTCAGGGAGGCCCTCCAGCTACGCTTTCCCATGACCTAATACGGAGAAGAAGAGAAGGCGACGTCACCACTGCCACCCAGCTCTCCCAGGAAGCTGCCACCCCAGCCCGGCTACCTGGATGCTGGATCTGATGGGGAAAGAGGGTGGGGAGCGAGACACCCCAGCCTAAGGTGGCTCTTACGCCATTCCACACCACCTACGTGGCAGGAAAGGACTAGGTGCTGGGGAGATCGGAAGGACCAGGGAGGGGCCCGTCCTGCCTTAGAATCTGGACCTGAGGCCAATGGGCTGGACTCTACCACACTCAGACTCCTCAGGCCTCAGGCAGGACACTGAGACTCAGGGAGGAACAGACTGGGCACAACAGCCCCATCTCACTCCTCAACTGGACTGGACAAGCTACCCGCTTTGTTCTTCTTCTTCTTCACCAAACCACAGCACCCATCCCTCCAGCAGTCCTGATACTCAGGGACCCTTCCTGAGACTGCAGCTCTATCTGGTCAGTTTTCTGACCCTGCTCCCAGCCCTAGATCCCCTTGGAGCTCAGCCTCCTCTTCTAAACCTTCTCCTACAGGTGGAGCATCCAAAGAGGAAAAAGGGGAGGTGGGCTGTAGGAGCGATGTCCTATGAAGAAGGGATTGTATGGAGAATGCGAGGGGCTTGTCTCACATTTCCCTCACCCTTCTGCACCCCCAGACACCTCAGAGCAAGGGGAGAAGTCGAGATCTCAGATCCCAGCCAGGAGGCAAACATCCCTCTCCAGCACTGCACTCCCACCCCCTTGCCCAGGATCCCCACCATACAGCTCCTGGGAGGGGTCTTGGGCCCCACCCCACCCCTACAACTCCACCTAACCCTGCCCACCATACAAAGCCAGCCCTCAGTCCCAGGGTCCCAGCAGGCTTGCTGGGCAGAATGTGGTCTTGTTTCAGACTGCCAATGGGTTCCACCTCCCAGACAGGCCCAGACAGACCCTGCCAGCAGGTAAAAGAGATTCCCCAATAGCTCACAGCTGCCAAGTCACCAAAGCAAACAGGACGCCCCCCACACTCACATGCACAATGGCCACCCCGCCCCCCCCACAAACACACCCAGCTGAGCCGGGAAGAGCCGGTCTGGCTTCCTAGACAATACCCCCACTACTGCCACCTGATCACCCAGCAGTGTTCTGGACCATTGCTGCAAAAAGGCCCTGCCTGTCCCTCCTGACTGTGCTCTGACCCAGGGAATATTCTAGAACATGTATACAACGCCGCCACCACCACCACCACCACCCCGAAAATCTGAGGGCCGTCCTAGGAACCAGCCACAGGAAACAGGGCCCAGAGACTGACTCTTAGAAACATTCCCAGCCGGGAAGACTGTCTCAGGCCTCCACCCCCAATCCTTCCACCTCCTCCCTTTCCATCTTCCCAGGAGCCCCAGGCCGGGATGGAGTGGGCAGAACAGGTGGGCAGATGACAAGCGATACCAAACGCTCCGTGAATTCTCCTCCTTCCTAGTCTGCCCAACCAGATAGATCACAAGTTCAAGGACTGTGCTTCAGCAAAGCTTTATTAGCAACCACTGGGGTAAACCCAGCAGGTCCCTGGATCAGGAACTGGGGGGGGATGGGAGAGGGAGAGAGGAGGGGAGCAGGTGCAGAGCGGCAGCAGCTCATGAGAGAGAGCCCCGATGGACACTCCGACATGAGAGCAGGTTCCAGGAGTTGGAGGCACGGACTGCTCCAGCACTGGGCTGTCACCTGGAGCTGGGGGCCTCAGTGGGTAGAGCGGTGGACCTGCTCTCTGGAAGAGACCACTTTGCCGTCCTGGATTTCCTCCGTGATGGTTCTCACCTGGCGGCTGGTCACGGTGCCTACAGGGGGATGATGGGGGCAGGGGGGTAGTGTAGGAGCCTCAGACAGGAGTCTTCACCCCAAACTCAGCACAGAAGGGTCCTTCTCTTTTCTTCTCCCTCCCTCTTCATCCCTCCCCTGGACAAGGCAGCTCTTACCTTCCCGAGTGGACTGGGAGGCCATGGAAGAAGAGGAGTACTGAGTGGCTAGGCTATAGGAAGAGAGAACACCTGTCAGCTCACTGGTGCCAGCTTGCCGGCAGGACCCCTCCCCCCCCCAACCCTGCTGGAGAGCTGCAACACCTGGGAAGGCCCGAAAGAGAGGAGAGGAGTTCTCACACACTGGGAAACCATAGCTAGGCATGCGTGGAGAAAGATCAACTACTACAGGCTCCCAGCGGCCTGCCATGGGAGGAAGGAAAGGAGCAGCCCAAGGCATTTTGTGACTACTCTGTGGCTACTAACCCCAGATTTACAAGGAGAAGCTGAGCAAGCGGGGTTTTGTTTTTCCATATCCTAGAGGGCTCAACAAAATACTCCATTAAAGCAAGAGAGATTGTGGTTCGACTACCAACGGACTTTACCATTGGCAGAAAGCAAAAAAGAAAAAGAAAAAAAGGGCTGGAATGTATCATTAAAAATGGGAATGAGCACCAGTGGCTCACGCCTGTAATCCTAGCTACTCAGGAGGCTGAGATCTAAGGATCACAGTTCAAAGCCAGCCGGTGTAGGAAAGTCCAGGAGACTCTGATCTCCAATAATCCACTCATTAAAGGCCAGGAGTGGCACTGTGGCTCAAGTGGTAGAGTGCTAACCTTGAGTACAGACAAGCACAGGGACAGAGCCCAAGCCCTGAGTACAAGCCTCAGGACTGGCAAAAAAAATAAAGGAGATCCCGGAGCTGGGTCACCAGACCGGCCGCGTCTATGGTGGCTCGGAGACCATATACAGCCGGCTGGTGCTATTTCATCAGGGAGAGCTGTATTCCATGGCAGGGAACTTTTGGCAGAGCTCCCATTATTTACAATGGATTCTGGATAAATAAGATCTATTGAAAAAGGGCCAAAAGGACGTAAAATTTCTCTCAGAAGAAGAGTATTGGAAGGTACAAATATTTTTCACAAATGTTATCCAAGCATTAGGTGAACATCTTAAATTAAGACATCAAGTTATCGCTACTGCTACCGTTTATTTCAAGAGAGATTCTATGCCAGGTATTCTCTGAAAAGTATAGATCCTGTATTATTGGCTCCTACATGTGTGTTTTTGGCATCCAAAGTAGAGAATCTGGAGTGGTTTCTACTATGAGGTTGATTGCTGCTGCTACTTCTGTATTGAAAACTAGATTTTCATATGCCTTCCCAAAGCAATTCCATTATAAGATGAATCATATATTAGAATGTGAATTCTATCTACTAGAACTAATGGATTGTTGCTTGATCGTGTATCATCCTTACAGACCTTTGCTCCAGTATGTGCAGGACATAGACCAAGAAGACACGTTGCTTCCCCTTGCATGAAGAATAGTGAATGATACCTACAGAACGGATCTTTGCCTACTGTATCCTCCTTTCCTGATAGCTCTAGTTTGCCTACGTGTGGCCTGTGTTGTACAGCAGAAAGATGCCAGACAGTGGTTTGCTGAACTTTCTGTGGACATGGAGAAGATTTGGGGAATAATCAGGGTTATTTTTAAACTGTATGAGCACTGGAAGAATTCCGATGAGAAAAAAGAAATAGCTACTATTCTTAGTAAGATGCCAAAACCAAAACCACCTCCAAACAGAAATCCCCAGAGTGATTCTCCACTAGTGGCAGGGCCTGGAGCTACAAGACGATGGTGGAGAAGATAAGGTAATAATCCTATTGCCACAGTCACTGGTACTTTCAGCTTTAGGAAATTACCATGTTTTTCTGATTTAAAGATTTGCTGTAATTACATATGATTTTATTATGCCATTAGACAACAGTTTGGTTTGTATGCTTGCTTTTTTGGAAGAACACTTTTGGTTTCCCTCAATAGTAGAAATAGAATTTTATATGTTAAGATTTAATTTTATAGGAAGTTTGTTCAGAAAAAAAGGTGTAATCTCTATGTTGAGTGATACCTATAATAATAATGAAACCCCATACACTAATTTAAACTTTTTGAGTGTAAATGGACACTAACTTTTAGGCTGTTTGTTGTGTGTTAGGGCAAAAAGTTACAGAAGAATAAAAGCATACAACCAAAAAGAAAAGGAATGGGGACGTTCTCTGCCCTTTACATTGGGGCTTTGACCAATAGTCCCAACTCCAAACAAGATTGTCACATGCCCCACTCCTCAGCTCATCCTGACTAATGACATTGCCAGTCACTGAAGCCAGAAACCCCGAGTCATCATCAGTATCCACTCCTCCAGGTGATTACTCGGCGTTTTCTAAGCTCTGACGGAGCCACGCTCACTCCCGTGCCTGGGCGTCCAGTTCTGCTGTTTTTAACTCAGGTCTTTCTCCTGCCTGTACTCTCTGCTCCCGGCCTCTGCTGACCCCACACCCTGCCCCAGGCTCCTGATAGACCCCTCTAAACCCTCCTCATCCCTCTCACCCATTCACCCCTGTACAACCAGATCACACCCCTCCCCTCCAGATCCTTCCACGGACCCTTTATTGCCATCATCTAGTCTAGACCCTGAATGGTTCTCTTGCACCCCTGCAACTCTCCTCACTCATACCTCCTGTGTGTCACTGGGGTCCCAACACGTCTCCCTGGGCCATGCTAGTCGCCAGCCCACCACCACAACAAGTGTTTTGGCACCCCAAACTCACTGGGCATCCTCGCCCTCCAGCAGGCGGCGGTAGGTGGCGATCTCCTGCTCCAGCCGGGTCTTCACGTCCAGCAGGATCTGGTACTCATGGTTCTGCCGTTCCATGTCACAGCGCAGCTCGCACAGCTGCTGCTCGATGCTGCTGATCAGGCCCTGCAGCTGGGCCAGCTGGGCCCCGTAGCGGGCCTCCGTCTCCGCCAGGCTGTTCTCCAGCGATGCTTTCTACAAGCCAAAGGATAGGATGGATGGAGGGATGGATGGATGGATGGATGGATGGATGGATGGATGGATGGATGGATGGATGGATGGATGGATGGATGGATGGACAGATAGATGGTGGATGGATGGAGAGATTAGAAAGGACCCTTCCCTACAATGGACACCCAGAAAAGGGATCCCATGTGGGTGCATTGTGGGTGCTTCCAGGACAGAGAGGGGTGGGACCCCTGAGCATGAAGTAACATGATAAGACAGGGGCGTTTCTGGTTCTCTGAGTTGAGGTTAGTGGGGGGGGCGGTCCATGCAGCAGGGCCCACCCCAAGGTAACAGATACAAGGCAGGGCATGGGATGTGGGTCATACCATGCTGAGCTGCGACTGCAGCTCAATCTCCAGGTTCTGCACAGAGCGGCGGAGCTCGGTGATCTCCGTTCTGTTACTCTGCAGCGCTTCCGTATTGGTGGCCACCTCTCGATTCAGCTCCTCAGTCTGGAAGAGAAGGGGGCCCACGAGGCCTCCTTCAGCAGGGGGCTTAAGGCTGTCCCCAAGCCTTCCCTCTTTGAGCTGTACCTGGGTATCTTATGTGTTGCTAAAGCATTGGCACCAGCCTGTAAAGAACTTAGTCGAACTCAGTACATTCTACAGAATGAGCACTTGTCCCCCTAACTGACCCCAAAGAGAGATACCCCTATCCCCCATCAGCTGTCCTTTGTCAGCCAGTTGCTGCTTTCCCGGAGCATGAGTTTACACATCAAAGACACATCCTGTAAGTGTCACGGGTGGATGGAAAACCCTGGGCTGGGTTGTGAACACCTGGACCCATTTAGGCCCTGGAGGAGTGCTGTGTGAGGCTGAGATATCTCTGGGCCTCCCATCTGACATGAAAGCATGAGTGCTGATCCCAGTGATTTCCAAAGATGCTTCCAGCTGGGACAGTCTGAGGATCTGCAGTAGCTGTGGCTTGCTGCGGCACGCTGGGGCTGGTGTGGGTACCTAAGTGCACACCTGCTCCCACACGGCCACCCACCTTGCTGAAGAACCAGTCCTCCGCGTCCTTGCGGTTCTTCTCCGCCATCTTCTCGTATTGGTCCCGCATCTCATTGAGGATGCGGCTCAGGTCCACGCCAGGAGCCGCATCCATCTCCACATTGACATCGCCGCCCACCTGGCCACGCAGGGCATTCATTTCCTGGGCAGAGGGGAACAAAGTAGGAACTTAAGCAGAACTACCCTGAGAACAGACTCTGGGATGCCAGTGAGACACATACAGGTGACAGCTAGGCAAACAGACAGCTAGAGGGAGATGCCACATCTCAAACACACAGGATTCTGGGTACCAGCCACCTCCCCTGACCACTTCTGAACATCCCAAGTCTGCACTGGGGCCGAGAAGGAAGGCAACTGCCAGTGTATGGAAGAGAGGCAAAGGCAGCCCCCGCTCACCACCCTGATCCTCTGATGCATATCCCCACCACCAACCCCACAGGCACAAGCTTGAGGCCAACATCTCCACATCCAGGGGATGAGTGAGACAGACCTAAAGGTAGATGTGTGTCTGTACAACCTTGAACAAAGCCCTTAACCTCTCTGAGCCTATTCCTTTAAGGCAAAGAAAAAAAGAATCTCTTTCTCCTATTGTCCATATCAGCTGAAATAATGCCTGTGAATCTCTGTGCTGGCCAAATGTTCCTGGTTATTAAGACTATTATAGTTAATTGTACTAATTAGCATTGTGTGTTAGACTGATTTGCTCATTCGTAAGTTAACTGTCACCATGCAGTAGGCCATGCCTAAGGGGGACAAGAGGATGTCTGGAGAAGGGTTAGAAGTCCCAAGGCCTCAGGTCCCGGCCAGGCACCCACCGAAGAAGAGACCGGCCCTTGTAGTTGGCTCCCAGACAGATTGTGCAGCCCAGGCTGACTGTTCCCAGCCTTTGCCAGGCCACCCTCACCTCCTCGTGGTTCTTCCTCAGGTAGGCCAGCTCCTCCTTCAGGCTCTCGATCTGCATCTCCAGGTCGGCTCTGGCCAGGGTCAGCTCATCCAGCACCCTGCGCAGCCCATTGATGTCGGCCTCCACGCTCATGCGCAGGTTCAGCTCCGTCTCGTACCTGGCAGGGTTAGAGGTATAGGCTGTGGAGTGTCCCCCAGGACACCCTGAAAGCCCCCCCCCGAGTGCTCCAAGGAATGCAGGGCTGGAGGACCACCCCTAGCCCCCCCGGGGACCAGCCAGGGACACCTGGACTCACTTGGTGCGGAAGTCATCAGCTGCCAGGCGGGCATTGTCGATCTGCAGCACGAAGCTAGCATTGTCGATGGTCGCTGCCAGGATCTGGGAGGGATGGTGGGCTCCCTGAGCAAACATCCCCTGACACCCCAGGTGGCAATATCCCTTCTGCGATCTTTTAGGGAGTGGTCCAGGACAGGAAGGAAGGGGGCCCATTGTACCCTCCTCTGAACACCTGGCTGTGAACCCTTCATGGAGGCCTGATTCCTTAGCACAGGTAAACAGGGATACCAGGACCTCGCTCCTCGGACTCAATTCGCCTCCAGGCTTACTTGCCGCCTCCTCTAGGAAGCCCTCCTGGGTCATTTCTCCCTGCTCATCTCTCTTTCCCAGCACTTCAGATCAGGGCCAACCTCATCCATGTTTTCACTGTGTTTGCCCTCGCTTCCCCCTCCATTAGACTCTGAGCTTGCAGGGGAATGAGGCCACTTCAGAGCTGTTCTTTTTTGGAATTCCCTGACCTGGGCACCGTGCCTGACTCAGAACCTGCCTCTGGGGTACGGTTGTCTAATTAAGTGATTAATTAATTGATGGATGAGGTTCTAACTGGTCCCACCTCCAATCCTGGGCAAGGCTTTCCTTTCCCACAAGGCATCTGGGTGGTTGAAATGAGAGGGTGAAAGGGTAGGGCCCAGGAAGGAGCCTAGAAGACTCCTTATTACTGCTGCTACCACAAATGTGGGAAATGTCCAGGAAATGCCCGGATTAAAGGCCACAGGGTACAGAGGAGAAGAGGTTCTTGCATGCAGCCAGAAGTGAGCAGAGGAGAAGAAGAGCTTTCCAGTGGCTAGGTAGAATTTGACATGTTACCAGGCTGGGGGCTGCAGCATAGAAGAGCCAAGAGGGAGAAAACACATATTTCTAGGGTCCCTCCCAACCCCCCACTCCCAGAGCCCCCCTCCCCCAAGGCCCTATGTTCTGTAAGAACCCTGGGTCAGGCTGAGGAGTCTTGGGAGGGGGGATATTTGTTCTCATTTGAATTCTGCAGAGACCCCATTCCCGCTCTCCTTGCTCTCCTCATTCTCCTCGGTGGTTCTGAGAGCCCCAGCAGTGGGAGGGGGTTCAGAGGCCTAGTAAGGCACTGCTGGCTGACCCCCCCCACACACACACACAGCCCAGAGTGCTGACTCACCAGGGATCCCCTGGCTTCCCTGCCACCCAGACCAAGCAGAGTATCTGATCTGGCACTGCCAGGAGCTTGGCTTCCAAGGGGGAAATTACAGGAATTCCCCTATCTGGTGGAGGTCCCAGGCCGCGAGGCAGGCAAAAGCCCTCACAAGGCAGGGCAGAGCAGCACCAGACCCAGCTGTCTACCCCAGAGTCTGGGCAGGCCTCAAGGTCCAGATTCAGATCAGGCTCAGCCTGCTTTATCCATCACTGCTGGCCTGGGGGCTGCAGTACTAGGGTCCCTTCCAGATCAGGTGTGTGCCAAGATCGGAGCAGCCAAGTTTTCAGAATGCCAAGACCATGTTCTTAGAGATCATGAGGGGAGGGGTGTCTCCTCCATCTGACTAGCTTCCAGTCTAATGGGAAAACACAGCTCTCAATTTCAGAGAACCCCTGCCTTACTCCCCACCAGTGATCACCCCAGAGAGAATGAGAAAGATTCAACACACACACACACACTTAACATGACCAGTAGGACATGGACTGCACCCCAAAGTGTTGTGGAGACTGGATCCTAAGATCTGGGGATAGAAGACAAATAAACATCTATCTGGGAGGGCTGCTGGAAGAGGTGAGGCAGACAAGAGGGCAGCCACAGAGAAGAAGAGAATAACCAGAAGGCGAGGTGAAGCCTCATAACCTGCTCCCACCATCAAAGACTTGAAGCTGACCCCACCCCAGACAAACTCCCCATAGGAATAGAGGAGCTCTCCCACCCCAAGAACTCAAAACAACCTTGTGGCACAGAATATCTCCCAGGTCCAAGACCCAAGGCTGGCATGGGCTGGCCCCCCAAGAAGAGAGTGAACGAATGATGGAGGTCTGGGATGGGAAGAGTTGTTTGCAAAATCTGAAACAGGTCCACAGCATTGGTGGCTCAAGCCTGTCATCTTAGCTACTCAGGAGGCTGAAATCTAAAGATCATGGTTCAAAGCCAGTCGGGAAAGAAAAGTCTGTAAGACTCTTATCTCCAAGTAATCAGCAAAAAGCTAGCAGTGGAGCTATGGCTCAAGTGGTAGAGCACCAGCCTTGAGCAATAAAGCTCAGGGACAGTACGCAGGCCCTGAGTCCAAGCCTCTGTACTAGCACAATTTAAAAAAGTAAAGGGCTGGGAATGTGGCTTCGTGGTAGAGGCTTGCCTCACATGCATGAAGCCCTGGGTTCTATTCCTCAGTACCACATATGCAGAAAAAAAAACAGAAGTGGTGCTATGGCTCAAGTGGTAGAGTACTAGCCTTGAGCAAAAGAAGCTGACAGTGCTCAGGCCCTGCGTTCAAGCCCAGGACTGGCAAAAGAAAGAAAGAAAGACAAAGGTAGGCACTCAAGCAGAAGGCAAGGAATAGGGGCTTCCTACTTTGCTCCGTAGGTCCTCAATGGTCTTGAAGTAGTGGCTGTAGTCTGGTGCAGGCCCAGGCCCCTGCTTCTTGTACCATTCACGGATCTTCACCTCCAGGTCCGCGTTGGCCTCCTCCAGGGCGCGCACCTTGTCCAAGTAGGAGGCCAGGCGGTCGTTGAGGTTCTGCATGGTCTCCTTCTCGCCACCCCCCAGCAGGGCATCGGACACACCAAAGGCAGAGCCAAAGCTGGAGCCAAAGCCCCCTCCCAGGCTGCAGGTGTACCCACCGCCGTAGCCACCCCCCAGGCCCGCTGAGAAGCGAGAGGAGGCCGCCGACATGGTGCCACAGCTGCCACCTCCTAGGAGGCTGGGGGCCCGGCATGCGCCCCCAACCCGGACAGTCGACATCCGGGACAAGCCCCCACCGGGGGTGCACAGGCCCTTGATGGAACCAGAGGTGGAGAACTGGCGGATACTGGTGGTGGTGGTGGCCATGGTGTCCACAAGTTCAGGCACAGGGTCTGTCTGGGGTGGCTGGAGACCCCGGTCCACCCTTTATACTCAAGGCTGACAGGAAGGCTGGGTCCCTGGCCCCTTGAAGTCCGAGCCAAAACTTCACCTATGCAATTTGCCTCTGAACCAGCTAGCCAGGCCCTGAGGCCTGGGCTGGACAGACGGGGTGTATCCCTGGGCCCAGTCCTGTCCTGGGCTCAGCCCTGGCCTGGCCATCTCTAAGTGGTCCATTGTTTGTTCCAAAACAAAGGTAGTGCTAGTATTGCAGCCCTGAGGCTAGGATGATCCTCCATCCTCGGCTACAATTAGGCGCTGAGCTCATTTTGGGGGGAGGTTGTGGGGAGGTGGGGAGAAGTCAGAGAATCCAGCCTGGGAGCCAGGAAGCGCCTGGAACAAGGCTCTACAGGTCTGGGAGCCTACAGGCTGACCTGTCCCTCCCCACGCCTCCATATTCCAGGGCCCCAGGGAGCCCCACAGGTTTCCCCTGGTATAATGCACCCCTCCCAGAGCCCCCTGGACTGACCTAAGGACGTCCCCAGCTCTCTCAGGACTCTCTGACGTCTTGGAAAGGAGACAGCCCAAGCTCAAGGTGAGGGAGGGAAGGGGGGCGGGTCCCTAAGTCTCAGCAGACACACTTGGTGATGGATCCTCACCTAGAAATCAACGCAGGGGCCTCTGACCTTGCTTATGAAATGGGACCCTTTATCTCCTGAGGTCTTAAAGGGAATCTGGGAAGATAGTGACATCAGTCAGGCTCAGAAAACAAGGGGGCAGGTGTGAAGTTTGAGGGTAGAGGGCCCAAGAGCAGCACGGTAAGGGTGGCCTCCTCATTCATCCCCCCCACCCCCACCTGAGGAGGGCTCCCAGAAGAGGCACCATGGTTGCCAGGGTACCTCGCAGTCAGCACGCCGCACCCCATTACCACCACCACCCAGGAAGAAGCCCATCTGGGCAGCCCACAGCCATCCCTACCGGGGAGTGACCCAACCTCACATTCTGGCACCCACTGAACCCAACAAGGAGATTAGCAGCCTAATCTCGGCGGTGCTAATGATTTAGGAGCTGCCAGGGCACTGGCGGCTGCGCAGGGCCTGTCTGAAATTGGAGCCTCCGGGGCAAGCCAGGGCCCCAGGGATGGGACAGGGACAGGAGGCGCATGGTGGCCTAGGCTCGCTGCCCGCATTGAACCCGGGGACAGCAATTCCACCTGACTCAGAGCTCCCAGGGATGAGGCTGGGTGGCAGGAAGGACTTCATGCTTCAAAGCAGGTGGTCTCTCCTTTTACCTAGACAGGATGGGAGGGCCATCTGCCTCGCAGCACTAAATCTGGAGGGAGCCAGGGCCTGAAGGGACAGCAGCCCCTCACACCCCTCCCTGTGCCCAGCTTTGTGCCTCCCAGCCCCCCCACCCCCAACTGAATTCCCACAGGGCTCGGACCCAACCCCAAGCCCACTGCTGAAGTCACTCTCTTCAGAGTCACTCAAAGGCCTTGGGAGACAGAAATGAATCTTATTTTCTACCTTCAGAGACCCCAGCCTTAGCCTTGAGACCCGGTATCGTGTAGCCCCCCTGCTTCTCCCCTCCCCCTGCAAGCGATTCATCTACCTACCCCTCTCTGCCACTGTTTACCATCCCAACCCTCAGGTAGGAGAGGACCATCCTTAAGCCAGGACTAAGGAAACCTGGCTGTTCTTCTCCACTCTTCACAAGAACACTCTGGGGAAACTGAGGCACCGGGATTTAAGTGGCCGCAGTTGGGTCAGCCCAGTGTCAGGGTCAGGTCAGAGCTGGGCCTGGAGCCAGTGCCTCCAGCATCAGCTCCCACTCTCCCAGCCTGGGGGAGGAGGCCTGGCAGGGCAGCCAGAGGGCCGCACAGAGGTCCTCGGAGCTGGAGCCGGGAGTCTCATGCCTGGGCCTGTCCTCCACCCCCGGCAGGGAGAGGCCCCAGCAACCCCCATGCTTGTCAGCAGCTCAGCCTACGTGAAGAAGGCTAAGAGGAAAAGGGCTTCTTTGGCCCAGCCTTAGAGTTTGCTAGAGCCCAGACAGATAGGAGACAAGGATGGGAGGAGACCCCCCCAGACCCCAGGGGTGGGAGGAGACCCCCCCAGTTGGCCCAGGAGAGATGGGCCAACTCAAAGAGGCCCCCCCAGAACTCTACAATGGGAGCCTAGGCTTGGCCACCCCCCAGAGGCCCTGAGTCTCCTCTGTGGAAATTTCTGTAAAGGAAGAAGTTTCCAGGGTGAACTACTGTCCAGATTGACTGAGTTTGAGTAGGACCAGGCACTGGAGAAGATATTGACACACTCAACCCACTTTGTTTGAGGGTACACAGTGAGGAAAATGGCCTGGAAGCCCTGTATACAGTATGTGCTTAATAGATGCATAGTTGGTTAAGATCACGCCAGGCCTGGGCCCAGCTGACCTTGGATCCTATAGGCCACTGCTGGCTGGAGTGGAGACAGAGTCCCAGGAAGGGAACATGGCTATTTACGTCCCCCTCCCAAGGAAAAGAGACAGATCAAGTTGGGGACCTGAGAGGCCACACAGCCTGAGGTGGGCTCCCAGCTGGAACGTTGGCTTGGATGATGACAGGCCCACATTCAACCCCAGCTTCCTGCAGCCAGGGCCTCTTCCCCCCCCCCGCCCCCGTCAGTTCTTTTCCAGTCACCCTATCACCTGTAGGCACCTTGTAGGGGGACAAGATGGACATGGTCTA